TAATAAGAGTTTGAGGTTTTGTACAAAAACGTAATGAGTGTTGACATTGATAATAGAATATACATATATATATTTATATAAAACAGAATATACATATGTATATATTGTATATGTACATATATATATAAACAAAATATTATAAAATATATATATTATTATAAAAAATATTAATATAATAAAATTTTGGATATGTTCTAAAATCTAAATAGTTTTTGTTTTATTGTTACTTCCATTATTATTAAGAAACCCTGAAATCACATAAAAAAAAAGATTTTTAACTTTTAACTTTTCAATTACATTTTTTCATTAACTTAACTTTTAATTCAATTAATTTCATTATACATTAACTTGTATCTTAACTAAGTTAAATTTTCAAGGTTGTTAACTTTAACTTAACTTAGTTAAAAAAAAAGTAACTTACCCAACCCTGCATATATGTATAAATAGCACCAAACCAATCAGCGCGCGATTCAAGTCACGTGTCATGTTGGCGACTCTCTTATTACAGGCTCTCTAGCCGCCCGCGAGTCCCAAACGTCGCGACTCATTTGTGACTCAGACAGTGGCGCGATTGCCAGATCATCCCCGCTCTCCGCGGTCCATGCGCCGTCGAGCTATCAATGGGCGTACACCGTTGGCTGTAGTAGGCCGGACGCGCGTATTCGGTGATTTTTACTAATTAATATCTCGTTGATTATTGCGAAAATTGCAAAACGATAGAAGACTTTTCGACTCAGTCCAGTCCGCTCTATCTGTGCATGTAATTTTTCGCGATCGTTCAGGACACCTTCTATAAGATACAAAAAATAAGATAATTTAAATTAATCTATGATTTGTTCCATTGATAAAAATTTTAAGATTTAATAATTTATCAAGACGCAGCATGTATTATAGCTGTGTAAAATATACATTCAAAAATATTTAAAAAATACCCTTAACATTTTGATAAACGTTATTTTTTATACATGTATAAAAAAATGATCTTACGAAACAATTAAACAAAACTGTGTTTTGTAACGACCTTTATACATATAATCGAGATAGATATCTCTGACCTTATTAATTATTTTTTTTGTTCAATGTATGTATCTATGTATACAGGGTGTCACGTAAATTTTTTGCTATCGCTTTTGTGTAGATAAAGCGGACTAAACTGTGTCAAAAGGTCCTCTACTACTTTATAATTTTCGCAATGATTAACGAGATATGAATTTTTAAATATATGCAAATAAACGTGTTCACTCAACCCACCGATCGCTTGGCGCGCGGTTCATGGGGAGTAGGGATGGCCTATTAGCAAGCGCGCCGTCCAATAAGGTTCACGTCGATGTGTATGAAGTGGGGTGCTTACCAGGCAGTCTCCGCTTTCCACGTGCCGACGTGCCAAGCGATCGATGAACGCATATATGTAAGGGCTGCGCACAATAGGAGAAATATTAGGAACAGATATTAAATATGAGAATTTTAACCTATCAGAACTGTGTACTGTGGAATGTGCGCTTTCTGACAGGTTAAAATTCTTATATTTAATATCTGTTCCTAATATTTCTCATATTGTGCGTAGACCCTAATACTACTATATGGCTAGATGAGAGAGAAGTCCATGTCCCAGAACCACGGTGCGGGAATATACTTCTCTCTCTTTCTCAGCGTACTTTGAACGTTGTGCGCATGCGTCGGATCATCCCCTCCATCAATAATAAATAGAAGGATAAATATACATATATGTGTAAGGAAGAAGGAAAAAGTGATTGATTCCGCTTCAGGGTATAACCTTGTTACAGTTAACAGAGTCAGTTTAGTCGGAATAAATAAATTAATCCTAATTTTATGAAATAAACTTTTTCAAAATTGCCGTTATGTTATATGTATATAAGAATACAGTGCAATCCCTTACAGAAATTTCATGATAATCAGTGCAAACTAATACCTATTTCATACCTATGCAAACTAATGTTTTCAGTCGCATTAGGCGCATTAGGTTTTTGCCACATAAATAACATATCCATGGTATAAATACAAGGGTATGCTCTTGCGCATATTTCAGATAGGGACAATCCAGGGAATTTGTTCTTGCTTACGTCACACGAGCTTCCTCTACATTTACTTTACACGAGTATGACGTAAGCAAGAACAAAAAGTGGTGGGAATGCGCAGTGGTCTGACACAGAACGAGCATACCCTTGTCTTTATACCATGAACATATCTTGACCATTTTTGCCTGTGTACAACAGCACACATCTAATAAGCATAACGAGCATAACCTGTTCGCGTCATCTCACTGATCGCACTCTATTTTCCTATTGGCGGATGCAATCAATCCAACGCATGCGCACAACACTCAAAGTACTCTTAGAAAGAGAGGGAAATATATATTCCCGCACCGTGGTTCTGGGACCGCTTCCTCTCACTCCCTCTTATAGGCACTAGCCATATAGTAGTATTACATATATGGATGAACGTATACTGACGTATACACTTGGTAGCAGCATGGTGTAAAGCGGGGAGCACAGACTTTTGCATAACGCATAAACCATATACATAAAGAATTTGATTGGTCCAATGACTTATGCATAAGAAAATAGGCCTAATGAAATTCCTTATGCACATGCTTTATGCGTTATGCAAAAGTCTGTGCTCCCCGCTTAAGGAAACAAGGTGTAGCACGAAGGAGATGCGCAGTGGATTTTCGTTCAACCAATCGGTAAATTTTGCCAAAATGTACGAAATCTGCCGAAGCCGGCCGAACGGGAGACACGAAGGTACGGTTGTACATACATACATACCACCGGAGATAAACAAAACGCACACAGGCTTATATGTATTGTACGTGACTGCATGTATTTGCAAGGAAGGTCGTAAAATATATAATATTTTATCGAAAATAGCCCGATATAGATATCCAGAAATATATTTTGTCGTTTCCATCAACTGCGGCATTATTTTATCGAAGGCGGTGACGAACAGCAATTTTGACGTTAAAGGGTTAATTTAACGTTTCTTGTAGTTTTCAATAAATATGAAACATTTGACAAAAATTCATTTTTTATTTTTGGTTTCTTAATAACTGGTTATTATTTTAAACAATTAAATAAAAACATTATTCAAAACATATATTTTTTAATTAGAAATTTTTAATTTATTGATTTTATTTACTAATTGCTTAAAAATAACTTTACAGGAATTTCAACTTACGCTTTCTCCCATTTTCAAATCAACCGCGTTTCAACCACATTTTGGTAAAATTCTCTCATTGGTTAGCCCCGTACCACCTGACCAGCCTCATGCGCCCCGCTACACCTTGTTTCCTTACACCATGGGTAGCAGTAAGTCGGAGCGAACGTATACTTATTATTCTCGCCTATATTTAAAAATTCATATCTCATTAATATATCATTGCGAAAATTGCAAAGTGGTAGAGGACTTTCTGACACAGTTTAGTCCGCTCCATCTACACAAAAGCGATGGTAAAAAATTTACGTGACACCCTGTATGATTGCCTCCCAACAAACGACACCCCCCCCCCTCTCCTTTTATACAACACACATACACTCGTATAAACAGCAAAATACATGTAAAGTATCTGTTGTATATTTATAATTTCCTACATACTCAATAACATAACTGTATCTAATAATAGCACATATATGCTATATATGTATTATGCAGGGAATGGAAGTAACTCGTTACTTGTAATGAAGTTACAGTTACAATAAGTTACTTTTTTGGTAACTGCGTTACTTTTTTTTTTAGTAACTGTAACGCGCGGTAACGAGTTACATTTTTTGGATAACGGTAACGAAATTTACAGTTACTTTTATCGTTACTTTGCACACGATTGAACACGGTTCGATTGGATACATGCCATTTATAGCGCTTATCAATAAGACTTGAAAGCCCTTAGGCATTCGGCCGTCATGATTCAATAATTATTTTACACTTCTATCTTCTATATGTAATACATATAGGACATACAAATATTTCAGTTTGCTGCATATTTTACAGGTGTTAGAATTATAAAATTGTGTTTAAAAAAAATTAAAAAATAAATTAAATAAAAGTAAAATGAGAAGGGCTACGAACCCAAAGTGAAACAGTTTATTTCCAATAAGACGATGACAATAATAAGTGTCGAAACGTCGTTTGTTTTTATATCTTGTTTTATCCATGTTATATTGTTTTAATATATATTTATACATTTAATTACATTGTCATCGTCGTTCTTATCGGAAATAAACTGTTTTATTTTTGGTTCGTAACCCTTCTTATTTTACTTTTATTTAATTTATTATTTGAGCCATTCTACATTGTTTTTTTAAAAAATAAAACTATACATATATGTATTTGGCAGTGTTACATAAAAAAAATGCAAAAGTACATTTTTAGATTGATTTTAAAAAAGTAACGGAAAAGTAACGAAAAGTTATTTTTCGAGTAACGGTAACTGTAACGAGTTACTTTTAAAAAGCGATAACTGTCGGTAACTCGTTACATTTTTTACTCTCATATATATACTTTCAAATTTTATTTTTTATTTATTTTTCTTATAATAAAATAGCATATATATATTGCACGTGCACATATACAATATATTGTTACTGCATGACAAATATAAAATGATCAATAAAACTGTATAGACAATAATATATAAATATAGTTTATAATAAATAATAGTATATATTGCTTAATGTTACAAAAAATTTTGAGAAAATTCTATTGTGTATATATTCAAGAATAAAAAAAGAGAAAAAAATTCGATAAAAGGTGCAAATAAAGTTGTAATAGTAATATTTTTAGGACAATCAATCTTGTCCAAAAGTTGTATTTATTGTTTTCCCCCTCTCTTTCAATATGAGACTTTGACTTATCCAGGCATATTCGTTGTGGAAACAGTCTCAATATGTTTGTGTAGATAGAAATATCATATACATATATATCAGTTTTTGTATTATATGTGCATACCAATTTTTGTTCTAATTTATTTTTTTCAGCATATCGCGGCGAAGACATAAATACAGTATCAATAAAGGTATGGAGGAAGTTTATATCTTAATATTTTTTTCTAAGAAATAACCTTTATGTTTATTACTATAATTCAAAGATATTTATATCTTTTGTGATCAGGTGAATAGGCTTTATTTTAAAAGTTATCTCCTATATTAACAGAAATTTATCATATATATACACACACACACACAGTTTTCTTATCATAGATAAGAATTATTATATAATCCAACGATGAAAGCTGTGACTGTAACTGTGTGACTGACTGAAAGTTCATTTTACATTCATATTTTATATGTTATACTTAAATGTTCTTTGCAGATAATTGTTGTCATGACTTTAAAATTTGCCAGTAATCTGTCTTTTATGTTTACCGAGGTTCCTAGTATTATTGACAGATACGTACTGGCTAAGCAAGCTGGATTTAAAGCAGTTGAAAGTGGATTTCCATTTGGCTTCTCTGTTCAGCAAGTTGCCACAGCCAAAAAGAAGGCTAATATTGACCAAGTACTTTTGAATGTTTTCACAGGTATGTTGTGTTTATGCACATTATAAAAATTCTTTCATTAATTTTAATTTTAACATTGTTTTAACAGGTGATGTTACAAAAGGAGAAGTCGGTTTTGCTGCTATTCCAGGTGAAGAAGAAAATTTCAAAAAAAGTATTGACAAAACAATAGAATATGCAAATGCTTTGAATTGTAAAATGTTAGTATATCGATAAATTGTAAATGTACTATAAATTTGATTGAGAATTTAATTTTTATAACAATAAAGTGAGAGAGAAAGTGTGTGTGTGTATATGCGTTTCGTGTTATATAATCATAACATATTTTATTCTTAACAGGATTCATGTGATGTCAGGAAAAGTGGAAGCTTCTACTACTGCTAATGATATAGTTTATGAAAAAAATCTATTGTATGCTATCGAAAAGTGTCAAAAAGAGGACATTATTGTTGTCATTGAACCAATTAATAATTATAGTGTACCAAATTACTACATGAATAATTTTCAAAAAGGTATATGAATTTGTATTGTACCGAGCTGTACTTTACTTTCTCATAATGAAGCATTAGAGCAATTTTTTTTATTTTTGTTATAGGTTTAAATCTGGTGAAAAAAATAAACAGTGCATACTTCAAGCTGTTGATGGATATCTTTCACTTACAACATTGTTGTGGTAATATTACAAAATGCATTCAAGATTTTTTACCTTACATAGGTTAGTAATAACTTAACAATATTATGTTAATTCTTATTGTTAGATTCCCTTTGTGTATAGTTTTACTAATTTTAATGTATCTATATATATATATATATATTTAAATCTTAATATGATCGATATAATACAATTTATTTCAATGATGTATTCATACTATCATTTGTATATTATTCAATATTATATATGTATATATTCAATATTTACTTTTATAGGTCACATTCAAGTAGCTCAAGTTCCTGATAGACATGAACCAGATACTCCAGGAGAGATTGATTATAAATATGTCTTGTCTTTGTTAGAAACAGCCGGTTATACTGGCTATGTTGGTTTGGAATATCGACCGAAATCATTAACAGTGGAAGGGTTAATTTGGGTTAAAAGATATGGTTACACTTTATAAATAGGTATTCAAACAGATACCGCTCCATAAATTTGGAAACACCTTACATTATAGAAGCAAACATGACCTATACATGTTTTTGATTTAAATAGATCATAAAACGTCCAAATTACGATGAACATTTTTATCTAGAATACCTATAAGCTTGTACATACATACCGAAAATATATCGGACAATTATTTCACAGCATCGGAGCGCTCAAGGTTGAATTTCGCATTCTGGTCTATTATTACTCGTTTTGCCACATCCTCGGCTACTTCGCACTTGTATGCATTGTAAATACACATTACAGGTCGTTTGATTATAGTTTCTGTTAGAGTGATAAACTGTTTGTGTGAGTTACAAGTTGATTTCAAACTCCGTAAAAACCGTAAAAACTACAATAGTCACCGAAAATGGCCCTGAAAAGAATTAGATTTCGTATGAATCGTATGTCAAGATAGAAATAATTGTCCGACATATTTTTGGTATATACTACAAACTTATAGGTGTTCTATTGTAGATAAAAATGTTCATCGTAATTTGAACGTCTTATGATCTATTTAAATAAAAAATATATATAGGTCATGTAAGTCATGTTTGCCTCTAAAACGTAGGGTGTTTTTAAACTTATAGAGGACTGTACATATATATTAATATATTACATACATAAATATGTATAAACGGTTCTATTATTTATATGTTCTTAAACAAAAAATATATTTTCATATTGTATCTATATGTAAAATAAAAAAAACATCCAGTTATAATTTTACAAAAAATATAAACGTATATTCATTATACTTCCAAATGAATAGGTCCAGTTAACAGTAATTAGTAAATAATATATTTTCAATAAATCTGTTATTAATATAAATTTTTGCACATTAATGGAAATACGAAAGAAATACATAATATATCTGTAATAAGTAAATATTAGTGTTTCATAATTTGCATGTGCATGAGTTAAGTTTTCAATAATTATACACATATATATATACAAGGTTGATTACATATAGATGTTATTTATATAATTTCGTATAAGTATAAACATAAATAATTTCTTAGAGAGAACATATACATGAACAAAAATGGCAGTTCAATATAACTATACATATACATAAACTCTTATGCCTGAAATTCATATAATAAATAATACAACCAATTACATAATTTATATTTTCTAAATTTGACTAAATAAAAAATTATATTCTTTAAAATTAATGCACAACCAATAACCAAAAGTATTTATGTAAGTATGTACAAGCATCGTCATATTATTCTGTATAATATTACTATATTATGTAACTGATATTTTATTATAAATTTGAAAAATTGACAGCACTTTATTATAGATTCCGTACAATGTGGAATATAATTGTATTAAGTACCTATTTCAAATAAGTAATAGGATGATTCTTATTATATATATTACAAAATTTTTATTATATGTATATGAAATTCATATTTTTGTAAATATTATATCATATTTTTTAATCATACCGAGACGCATCTCCGATTATAATATAATACATATATAATTCTATTCAGCTCAACTTAAAGTAAAAATGTATTACGTAAAAACATTAAATATATAATAAAATTGCGAGTTGCATACATAAAAATCTTAGTAATAAATTTAGAATTAAGTGGAAAATTTAGAATCATCCTATTCATTTTTTACAATAAAATATAGACGAATTTTTATTCGCAATTTTTATTATTTTTATTTTGTTCAGCACACATACGTGCTTATGTCTTAATTAAAATTTTTGTTAATGCAATATTCTCTGCAATGACTCGTCATTTTATGGTACAATTTGTAATCTACACAATCAATTACAAATTTATAGTAACATCGATATTATACATTACGCTACAGTGTAATTTAATTATATTATGGTTAAAATTACAATTAATTATGACAATACTTTTAACAATGAATCCGTGTATTGGTATATTACAACATATATAATACAGTTAATATTCAAACATCTCGGAATAAACCGCAATGTTAAAAATATTTGCGTTGACTGCAATAACAATTCAGTGTGAATTTTCTTCACAACAATAGTACTTATATGAAACCTTAAACGCACAATGCCGAAAATTAAAACATAAAAAAGCATCAAATATAAGTTGATATTACAATCGTAATACTATAAAGCAAAATTACAATTCCGTGAAGGCGTACAAATTTATCGGTGTTATTCAGACAGATTCTGTGATATCCATCAGTGGTTGGTCGACATCAATAGAAGGACCTATCACAGCAGTGCTGTAAAATATTTTGAATATATTTTATAAGAAAATTACTCCAAAACTTTTAATAGCAATATGCTAATAAAAGGATATGAAGATCTTATAACTTATTTGTAACAGAAATAAAACACAAAAGCTATCAATCACATACTGCACAGAAAAATAAAAACCAATGCTTTTATATAGCTTTATCACAAATGTTATAAATACAATTATAAAAATGTTAATTTGCATTCATCACACCCAAAAACGAAGATATGTTAGATAGATCAAAGAGAGATATAATATAGAATAAAAAAAGAATAATTCATTTTGATTTTATATAATGTATTCATGCAAGCGCGATATTAGTAATAATGTTCAATCGGAACTACAGACAATATTACCCAGCGCCAAGAGCCAAAATTGTAGCTTCTTGCACCAATGTCATTTGATCAATGGTGGACCTGTGATTAATCAAAAATTCAATAGAATGGATTATATTAAAAAAAGCTATTGTACTATATTTACATATACGTGGTTCGATAAGTCTAGTAAATCTTTATGAAATAATGCCATAATCCATTTGATAATGTGACATCTGGAAAGTATCACACATGTGCCAAATTTCAGCCAGAATTGACGCATTGTTCACGTTCGATCATCGTTTCAAGCGAGCGAGAAGTTTAACAGAAAAATGGAAAAAAACAAATTCCGTGCAAAATTATAGAATTGGATTTTGAATTAATTTCTCATTCATTATTACCCGGATTTAGAATAGAACAAAGAATTATTATAACTTAATTCTGGTTGAAATTTTTGGCACAGAAGGGTTTGAAGAGTGATACTTTTTAAATGTCACATCATCAAATGGATTGTGGCACTATCTCATAAAGATTTACCAAAACTTATCAAATCATCCATGTATATAATATGTATGAATATATATATATAGTAAATAAAATTTAAATTACATGTTCAATTAGCTTGAAATGAACAAAAATTTGGAACATATTATATACTATAAAACAAAATAAAAAATATAACAATAAGACATCAATTTATTTCAATCAGATCAAAGAAAATCGAACGCAAATGCATATATTTTTTAAATTTATTTTATTGTTATTTTTTATATTTTTCAAATATTAAGACAAATATTTTTCACATATTAAAATAATAAGAAAAATTGTTGTATATGGCAAGATAATATGAATCTCAATATAAACTATCTCAATCAAGATAAACTATCTCAATCAAATCCTTTTGTCAATTTCATTTAAAATTATGATACAGGAAAATAAAAGCAATAATAACTATTTCAGAATTAGTTTGTCGTAAAAGCAGGAGCACTCAGCAAAAGAATGTTTAGTATGTATTAGTAGTAAAATCGAAAACTTACTGTAATCGTAGCACGATGTATTTTATCTTATATTTACATATTTATATAATAAAACTTCATACAATGTAATTGTAAAATGTAAAAACCTAAAAAATGCATTTATACGTTGAATGTCAATAAACATGTTTAGTCAGGATATTTCTGTAAATAATACCATATAAATTGAAATTAAAAAATAAAATAAATACTTTATATTTCTTAATATTTAATATTATATACTTCGTTTATTGATTGGCGTTATCAATATAGGATAGGAACATTCTGTAAATGTGGAATAAGATAAAGAATAATTATAAATAAAATTTTATTTCTATGAAGAAATTCGTTTTTTTTTACAGATGATTTAGTTTATATTTTCTATTCTACTATAAATACAAATGTCTGTTTTTAGCAACAAAAAATATGAATTTAAATATTAGAATGTATATATCATTGTTCATTATTAACAAAATGCATAATAATATATACTTATTTATAATACAATAATATAAATTTCATTATCTTTCTATAACAATTAAAATATTATCTAGATACATCAATTTATTAACTATATTGTGAGAACACACATATGCCAAGTCCTCTGAATAAACAAAACATTCTACAACTCGTGATCTTAATTCTAATTCTCTGATTGATTTGAAATCAAGTTTTCTTCTTGGGAGAAAATATTGAGAGATCATTTATAATAACCTTCCAATTTTAAGTATTACATATTTTTATACTTCTGAATGTCATAATTTTATAGTTGTAAATAAAAGTTCTATTACGAAATATACTTTAAATTAACTAGAAAATATTATTTTATCAATCTTATCTATAGATAACTTAGATAAGAAATTTAATTTGAAATTATTTCTAACTTTAGAATTATTAACACCTCAATATTTTTTCGAACAATTGATTCCGAACTCGTTAGAGAATCTGTTATTAAAATCAGTCGTGATGAATCATAAGAGGAGGCACTTCACTTTAGTTGCGATAGATTTTATACAACTTTACTGTACTATTAAATAACAAATACCTACATAAATATATAATTTGTAAGGAATGATTGCTGTATAAAGTGATGGTTTGATACACTACCAAGTTGAATAAAATTATTGTCTTGATCTAAGAATCAAACCTATGAAGTACCTGATTTGTGTAGGGAGATGAGGAGTCAAATTCAGTTTCATCACCCCACTGTTGGGTGTCGGGACCCAACAAAGTATGAGTATCTTCATTGCACAGCCGCTCGGGAAAGTTTACCCCGTCTCCAAAGCTGCAAGCCATACCCTACCTTCTACTCGATGTTTCCCATGTCTACAATCCTTATGGCGTAACTATCTATCATATTTCCATTTTTTTCTATTATTTTTTTCATTGATTCAATTTATGTATTTAACCGATTACTAATTAAGGAAGAATCGTAAAAGAAGTAGAAACAACTTCTTTTAAAGAAGGAATAACTAAACATAGTTACACCACTTTTATACTACAAGTACTGTTTATAAGAACCAGTTGCACGATACCTCACATAATTGTTATAACAACTTTATGCAAATTAGTCTTCAACCAGAATTTATAATATAACATAAGACATGCAGCTTTATCACAAAAATTAATCTTAAATGCTTTTATATAAATACATTATTTTTTATTTAAAAATATATTATATTTAAATCTTTTAATATATATATACATTCTGTAACAAGTAGATATTTTTATCTGTAAATAAAATATTACAATACAATTAATAAATACATTTTTAGAGAAAACTGCAGACTTTAAAAATTAATTTTTTGTTTTGTAATAATATTCTTTCACTGCTTTTCCTTCAAAATACATTTCAATAAAAAACAAAAAAACAGAACATTTATTGGCAGTTAAAAATATGTTAACTGTGAATTGTGTCAATGCTATCAAACATAATTGTAGTTGCAACAAATGTCTTCTTACAATCAGAAGCAAAATAAATAAGGTTTAATTTTACAAACTTTGCAGACAAATTGTATAAAAAGCTTAAGATGAGAAATGATTAGGGTATAGTAATAGCTGTAGAAGTGATAGTCAGCGTCAAACAAAAAGAAACAAATGCATTGCATGCCTGGAAGCATTTAAAGGTCTTATCGTTACTCTGGAACTCTATAAAAGAATAAAAAAAAGATATATTAGATACACAAATTAGTTCGGTCCGTTTTTTTGTGTTCAAAAATGTATTCATTTCAAAACAAAATGAATGAACACATTAATTAAAGTATTGTCCATCGCTGGCTACTATCTTTTTCCATCTCCCAGGCAATTTTCGAATTCTATCTCGAAAAAATGACTCGTCTTTGGAGGCGATCATCTTTTTTGAAAAACGGGCCGAACTAATTTGTACGCCCAATATAAAAATATAAGGGCAAGAATATATTTTAAATAGGTTAAGAACATCAGAACAAAATAGCAAAACTTTTAAAAGTTCCTTTCCTCAAGAATATTTCAAGACTTATCTTTAAGGCATTTATGTACTTGTTAATCATATCTTTATCGGAAAAAATAACCGAGTTCCACAGTAAAGAGTCAAAGTAATTAATATTGCATTTCTGTTTAAAGCTTTTGTAATGCTGACCTGTTCTGAGTACTGCCCATGGAGTCATAAGTATTGGGTGTGCCCTGGTGTTGCGATCTTACTGGGTAGACGACACCATTTCCCAGACTAGAACACATCCAATGCAATCACTCCAATTTAAAAAATATTGAATTTGCTTTTGTCAATCATAAAAGTGCAAATATAGTGCTCATAAGAATGATTTGTAAGTGCGGGAGTTGCATACTAACAGTGCATCAAAAAATAAAAAGATTTTATATTCATATTTCCAAAAATAATCTTTGCGTCAAAAAAACAGGAAGAATTTATATATAGGATAAAGATGATTTAAGGCATTTATGTACTTGTTAATCATATCTTTATCGGAAAAAATAACCGAGTTCCACAGTAATGAGTCAAAGTAATTAATATTGGATAAAGATGGAAAACAGTAAAATTTCAACTATTTGTAACAATCTATCTGCATCCTGTTCTGATTTAATATAAAACAAAAAATATTATACAACATATTTCTCTTTGTACACACCCACCCACACACATCCCCCCCATCAATTATTATAACACAGAGATATAATAAAGTAATTTCAACATGTATATCTTTTTATTACAATAATAGGTAAAGATTCTTTAAAATGTTTTATAGAAAGAAAAAAAAAATAATCAGATATATAATATTCTCACACACATGATTTCGGAGCATTCTCCATATAATTACAAAAATATATATAGAAAAATAGTAATAAAAAATTTAAAAAGTTGTATTATATAAAACATGCGATTATCTTGTTTTTTGAAGGAAAATAAACTTTGACAAAATTAGAATTGCTCACACTTTATATTCAAGGCCCTGCAGTACTTATGTTACCATATTTCAAATTTCGTTTAAGTATGCCAAACTGCATAGTTGTTTTTTTATAAAGATTATGATAGGCGGTATACTAGAAGCATACAAATTGATATAATAATTGAGTTATTATGTATTGTGCAATTGGTTCCCACTTTATAAATTATAGAATTTTATTGCGTGTAAAGTATTAAAGAAATGAAAAGTACATACCTACTAAATATGGGTAGAAACCAAAGCCGTGGATTGTCACCAAATACTTCCTGAAAATTATTGTATTTTCCCAGACTAAATCCATCTTTGTCCTTTCCTGTCCGAAACATAGGTGCTCTAAAGGCTTCTATAAAACAATTACATAGTATTGATTACAGATTACACACAAATATTGTAAGATGGAAATGTGTATATATATAAAATAAGTACCTAGCGTCGATCTATTATGAATAACGAGATAGCAATGATAGAAGAAAAGGGAGATAAGACTGACTGCAAACATCAATGCAACAAAAAAAAGAAATAGCAGATGAAATCTACCCATTCCATCTAGTTCACCCTATAAAGAAAGTTTATATTAATTAAAAAACGCAAATTAAACGGGAATTTTATATAAATACACGCACACACATACACACATTATATTTTGGCATTAACATTATTTAATTTGAATAAATGATATTAATATATTAATTTCTTATAAAAGAGAAAAATCTACTCACTTTCCAAAATTGTATAAAATATTGCAAAGATGTAGCGGTAATAAACATACAATAGAGAAGTCCGTACGCCAGAAACAGTATGAAAAATTTATAATTGTGGAAGCCTACACAATTATTCACCCATGGACAATGATGATCCATTTTTAAGACGCAAGTGCCACACACGCTACAGTGATGCGTCCTATCAGGTTTTATTAACTGACATTTTTCGCAGAATCGCATAGCTAAAATAAAAATATTATCAACAGATACATGAAATTCTTTGAACAATTTTGTTTGTCATTTATAATTTAAATAGTTACCTCCTTTTATGGTGCGGTTAGTAACTGGAAGATCTTGTGCAAATCTTTCCAAAATTTGTCTCTGTGTTTCTTCAGTTTCAGCCTGTTGCAATTTCTCCATTTCAACATCAGGAATTTTAAACTTAGGGTTAAAAAAAGATAAATTATTTATATTGTCTCACAAACTAATAATTATTCAATAATTATTTTTATGTAACAGACAATTTACCTTATCTGGTACCGGTATTAAATCTGTACACATCGTTTGCCAATATGACCATAAAAACATCAGTATCAGGATGTGGAAGAAAAGCAGATAGAAAACTGTAAACATATACATAGATAATAAGTGTTATACATATGCAACATGGCTACTTTCCAAAATCAGAATTAACTTTGATAAACATAAGTGACATTAAGAGTTGTATAATTATAGAAATAATAAAACAGACAAAAAAATACTAAATCTTAAAAGAAAACAAGATTAATATATATAAATAAAATAATATATAATACAAACCTTTTTGAACATAATTGTCAATTGTATCTGAAACAAACACATTACAATGTTAATATAAAGCTTTCAAGAGTAGGTTTATTTTGCAATTAAGCTATAAACATATATACATATATATATATATATATATCTACAATTGCAAAATAAGACTTCTACTTATAAAATGATTCTCTCTTTACATATATATTTATTACATACATACATCATACATAAACTTTAAAATTTATTACATACACAAACATCAAATGGAATTTTTTTGTATATCATACAAATTACATAAAAAATATCACAAAAAATTAACGCTGTTAAGATTAAGATCTACAAGTTAGGAAATAAAGAAAACTCAAATTGCTTAGTTTACACGACATGAAATAGATATCGTTAAAAAGCAAAATACAACAACACATAATTAGAAAAGGTAATATCTGAAAAGCGCGCGTTTTTAACGATATGACGCGAGACAAGGTTTGCAAGGACGTTGGTGACTCGAAGCGAAACCAGTGGGGAGACAAATAGGTACGACGGAAAGACTACGAGAACAGCGGAGATCTCGGAGGGTACTCACAGTAGCACAACTGCACTACGTAGGCGTAATAGGACCAGGCAACGATCGTTAAGATGAAGATCACTGGTAACCACTTGACCGCCTTGACGCACCACCAGCACGAGCCATTTTGCTTGCCCATATCTGTTCACCGAATCGACGATGTGCGTGAGATTGCGTGCCCACCGATCGTGGGCCTCATCAATAGCGCGTTAACCCTCGGTCCGCTGAAGCACAGCGGCATCGCAACACTACACCCCGGGACTACGACGAAATAGCCGTTTTATCGTTTTCTCTGATCTATCTCAACGGACTCTGCGTAGAATGTTTGGAACGTGTGACTGTGGCCGAGCGCGAAGAGCACGAGAACGCATCATTGCGCAAGCGAAACTCGCCAGCGTTATCGCGGCATCACACCCTCCTTGCGAAACTCGCGATCAACACACTGACCAACACGGACGTAACCGGTAACCGCCCTGACAGACGCTCGTAATCTTATTTTGAACTCTGACTAGCCACTACTTTGCACACCGCACGCAACGTGCACCATCCCATTCCGACCGTCGACGTCGCTCCGTTTCACGTTCGCCACAAGCCACCACGATCGCCAAACCACCCAAACCTGGGTGATTTTACATGCAGCGCGGAACGCGGTACGCGGTAGGCGGTAAAGTAACTAGGAACCGCGCGCGGTAAAGTGGGGAGCACAGACTTTTGCATAAAGGTACTTTTTCATGCGCAGCACGCTGCAGCAGCAATTCGTTACTATTGGTTAAGAATTTTATGTAAGCTAGATGACGTACTTCCGGCGCAAACACATTTTACCGCAGTTCGTTGAAGTTGAACCGAACGAACAGCAAGCAGCAAGTGGCAAAATCGAGAAAGCGTACAATATGTCCGTCGTTTCATTATAAAAATATTATTTATTGCAATAAATATTAGGAAAATAAACGAAAAATGGCTTCGGATAAGGTACGGATACATGTTTGTAAATTAGATCATTTTATACTTTACCACAAATTTGAAAAAGTAAAGTGTAAAGTATAAAATGATCTAATTTACAAACATTCGTACCTTATCCGAAGCCATTCTTCGTTAATTTTCCTAATATTTATTGCAATAAATAATATTACCTCGATTTTGCCGCTTGCTGCTTGCTGTTCGTTCGGTTCAACTTCAACGAACTGCGGCAAAATGTATTTTGCGCCGGAAGTGCGTCATCTAGCTTACATAAAATTCTTAACCAATAGTAACGAATTGCTGCTGCAGCGTGCTGCGC